TGCTCCTTATTTGTGCTTTGCCTTGTGTGCCCAGACTCGAATGAATGCTGACAACAATTTTTTGACACTTTCAAAACATTCAATTAACAAGCGATCTAAGAAAATGCAATACAAAGAGCTGTGCGAGAACTGTGATCTAAGAAAGACCAGCAGGATTAAAACCATTTACAGATCTCTTCTTTTAGTTCTCTTTCTCACTTGTCTTTTCATCCACAAGTCTTTCATTTAGCTCTTGCTTTCAGAGATCTGAAGCTTTCTAGCATTGTCTTTGCATTATATATTTTTAAAATAATTTACTACATACTGCATACACTAACATTTTTGAAGGGTTACTGACATCATGAATAATGCACTATTGAATATGTATTGAAAGACTTCTGAAGATTCAGATCAGATTCTCCCTTTTTATAAATGGACTATTGTTTCATCAGCCTTATAAAAGAGTGATCGCTTGACGACGGCACTGCAGGACATGTTTGGCTTTGTGAGGACAGATGAGTGTAGTATGTGTCCGATAAGATGTTAACCCAAGTTGTGCTTTAAAAAATAAAACAAAAAGATTAAATACAGCAAATCTTCTTTTCTGCGACTTGGTCAGCCAACATTTGAGGTGCATACAGTGGACAGTTCATTTGAAGCATTTTCTTTTGCTTTTTTTAATTTAATGTTTGCTCGTAATCTGAAAGCTACAGTATGTGGTTGATCTGCAGCTTCATCAAAACAGCTCTATGTATAATACCAGGAAATCATCTGAATATAAGAAGTACTGTAAAGGCATGATTGGGTAAAATATGTAAAATGACGCATCTTAAAGTGACAAAATATATAAAACAAATTGTATTTATTTCAAGTGACCCATTTTCTCTTTGCCTCATGTTAGCTATCAGTCTAATGACAAGTTGATAGCTCAATGATACCCATTTCATATACCCAGATATTGTATATAAAATGTGCAGAGATCTGCTTATACACCATGAACAATAATGAAACAGAGAGTGAAAAGACTAAGGAAACAATAGGATCATTCCTGGACCACAGACATCCTGAACTGTATTTCAAGAAATCAAAATTGACCAAGGTAAAGGAGACCACCGAGTAAAATCACAAGCTTGAAAGGAAGAAACCAGGAAAAGGGTGAACAAAGGCAAACATTTATGTAAGACTCAAGTCATTCTGTACAAAACAAGTCTTCAATGTGTTAATTCAGTTCCACATTTTTTGGTTGATGTGCCAAGTGCAAAGAAAGCCTGCTAACATCGAAGACTCAAAAGTCATAAATCCTTGTCCTCTATAGTTCACATTACTCATGACAACCTTGCAAAAACTCTGAAAATAACTAACTTGTAAGGCTTCTTTTTTCAAATAATTACCATTATATTAGATGTACACTATGTATAAGAGTAATATAATGATTTTTAAATAATTAATTGCACTAGTTGTTGTTAAAATTGTTTTTTGTTCCTTCAAAATTGTATTTTGTGACCCATTGAACCTCTTTAAATATGTTGTCCCACTCAAATCTGTGCATTGTCTCCCATTAAAGGGTAATTAAACCATGATCAGTCTGCACTATCCATACTGTATAATCTTGTACTGTGCATAATGGGCTACAGAATCACACGTGGATCTTGTGTAACTGCAAAAAAATATGGATGAAATTATTTCGTTTACAGTAAATGAATATACATATTGTATAAGAGGTGCAATTAAAGAATATTAAAGTGTTCTTTAGTGTTCTAACTGTATAATATGTAATGGTGCATTACACTAGACAAGGAGATAAAGATTTATAGGTGTGACTCAGCATTCCTATCATGTATGGCATTTACATGGCTTAAAACTGAATGTCACTTAATCTGCTTGTCTGTATATTTGTTGGTCTGCAGAGTATCTGTGGGAGCGTGTATCTATAATACAGTCAGTGCAGTCTAAATGTCATCGAACAAAACACTTTTATCAAAAATGTTTGGTTAGTAAATTCTATAACATCAAATCATCTGTAATGTAATCCAATTTGTTGTGAGAGCGCAACAGGAGTGGAGAGATACGATGTTTTCAATCTGCAGAGCAGCCCACAGCCCTGTGGAAAGTCTGTCCCTCAGCCGAGGGCTCAGTAAATGGACTTTGACAAGCAGAATTTCTCCTCCCCCCTGGACAGGTGGCAAGTCCGAATCAGAGAGCCCCCTCTGTCTTACAGACTTCCTAGATTGTGACACACAGCACAGGGAAATGAGCCAAGCCTGGCAGCAGATGAATGTCCCTTCATTTGAGATCTTCAATATTACGATATACCACACACTAACAAAACTTCCTCAGCTCTCTATACTCTGTCCCTGACCTATTTTGTAGAAATATCTCTTTACAAAAAGATTAAGGCTGTTTAATGGTAGGTGACATAGCAGTGTCCTGAAGTGTTTTTCTTTCTTAATCCTCTACATCTTCAGTAAAAGAGCTTTCAAAAGAAATATTGCAGTTTTTGGCATTCTCTCCTTGAGGGAGAGTAGGATTGTCAAAGTACATTGTTTTATGTTTTGGAGCTGTTCCTCAGGAGCGTCGCATCGCTGCTCTGTTAGTGTGTTAGGTAAGTAGGGCTGATTTCCAAAAAATTCCACCTAAAGCTCTTTGAAGATTACTAAATTTTTCTTATATATTATTCTGTCACCTTGCCTTAAATATCTTTATAAACATTATATAAAAAAGCCTTCAGATGTATTTATTTACAAGCTCCTGGATACGAATATCACTCCTGGCTGTTTGCTGCCCCAGATTTGAGGCCCGAGGAAGCTGATCATCTACTGTGTTGTTAATTTCAAGTTGCATCTCGAGATCTTATGACTCTTGTACACTTGACTTACTTAAGCAGAACTGTTAGACATTCAAATGGACATCATCTCACTTGCAGTCCTTTTTGTTTCTTATTCTGTTGGGTGGTTAGGTGATTTGTTGATAATGCTATAATAAAATTTCAAGGGTACTAAAATTTCAGAAAATAATTTGATTATGTTCACATATGGTAAATTACTGAAAAAAAATGGTTTTATATCTGTACAAAACAAACTAAGTAAGCTAAACAATCAATGCCCAGGCTTTAAATTCCACAGAAATGAATCGGGGCACACACAGGACACACATACAAGTTTTGTTTTGAGTGTTTAATGATCATTTTATTGCTGCCATTATCTTATTAAATAATCATTCCACTATTATAAGCACAATTCCAGCTTTTATTTTTGTAGATATTAAAGAAATTTTAAAATAATAGAATACTAGACAAGTATAGAAGAGATTTCATTAAAAAGTAACACCTTTATCCCATGATATCCATAAATAATAGTACTGCATTGCATTTTAAATTAACCGCATGTGGATGTAAATATTAAAAATTTAGATAACTCATATTGGGGACAAAACTGCATTAAAGAGAATGAATAAATTCAGATGTTTAAATCTGGTTTGCATGTTACTTTTAAGTAAAAAAGAAACCAAACAGTTAGCCATTCTTAGAACTAAGAGGGATGGAGACCTTTTATTTTTAATGTATTACCTGGAAGGTGTACATGTTCAGATTTTATGGAAAAATATCTTTTTGGAAAAAGAAAAGTAAATCAGATGGAATGGCAAAGCAAACCATTTCAACCATGCTAAAAATAGTTAAAATAACCACATCAAGGAATCAAATAATAAGTGTTACTTTCTTTTTTAAATAATGGTTTCATTTTTAGTTACCCTTGTTAAAACTGTCCTGTGCTCCATAGTGTATGTGCCAGTGTTCCTGCTAATTAATGACTCAGGATTATAATGTAGAACCCTACTGTGGTTACACACCAGTGACAACACCATTCATTTTCCAACTTCACATAATGTAACAACTATTTACATGCAAAACAACAAGTAGATCTGAGGAAGAGGTACAAATTATTTCTGTGTACTGTGCTGAGAAGAGGGAGTTTCCAAAATATTCATCTACTCATCTTCTCTTTTAACTTTAATATATTTGTCTATCCTTTAAATTAATGCTGCTTGAAAGATTGTCTGTGGTTTCCGATCTAATGTGAACACATCATATAACTTACATTTTAAGAATGTGGCTCTTGTAAATTTAAAGTGTAGTCATGAGCTGTGATCAAGCTTATAAAACTGAAAGAAAAAGGTACAGTACATGATTAAAAAACATCAAATCTAGGGAAGTGTAGGAACCTTTAAACAACACAAAAACATAATTTTTATCTTTACAAATACTATATGTTTATCTGAAGAATGTGAATGCAAGTTTAAGTAAATTTAGTTTTAATCAAATAGCGCCCCATCTAGTGCTCAATTTCCATGCCCTATCATGCACATTTTGATAATGTTTTCTGGAGGGTGTTGCAATTAATTTATTCAGAGCTTTTTTTTAAAAAAAATATTAAAATAAACACACTATTTTAATAGTGTGCTTGAGTTATTCACTTGTTGTCCAGATCAATGCTGTGTGATGCAGGTACTTTACATGTGTAGTACTTCTCAGATGCAGCAAAAAAGTACTTTTTCTTTAAAAGTACTTAAATGCTAAGAACAACTAATAAAAAATGCCAATGCCAATTACAAATGACATTCACAAAACACTGATTTTATGGAAGAGTGAATTAATGTGAACTTACAGTACCTGAAACCTAAAATAAAAGTTGGAAATTTCTATACTTTTAATCAGAGAGGACACTGCTGATGTGAAAGAGTGGGAGTTAGAAACCGGCAAGCCTGCTTATACAATAAGTGTGTGGTCTTAGGAAGAAGAAACAGCAGAGAAATGCAGCAAAATATTGACCAGCATAAAAAAATATGCAGAGATTCAATGTTGTGTTAAGAGGGAAAAGGATGTTAATGAGTTTCAAAAGGTTTGTTTTTTCTGTGGCAAGGTAATGTTTAGGAATTCATGACATTCATACTTATAGACATTATTATTCCTTTAAAATGTACTTAAATGTGCAATTCAATCATTTCTTTCCTCTTCCTAAATGCAGATATCTCGCCATAGAAGAAATCTTTCCCAGCACAACCTGATAGACATTACAGCCGGAGAGCAGTCTGTAAGTACTTTCTGATTGTGTTATATTGTTTGCAACAGTAGACTGTCAGTGCAAAATCATGTAAATCCTAAATAATAAGCTGTATGTTGTATTCTTATGTACAGGAGTAATATCTGTAGTGTAATATCTGTAACTCTGTCAAACACCAATGTTATGGCAATTATTGGAATTATGCCTCGTTTCACCACAGCACTAAGGACCTACAAGCAGAGAAAACGGAAGCAAAGCAATAAAAGCACTAAGCTCTGGAGTAACTAAGGTACAAGATTCTTCCCCAATAAGCAAAAGATGCAAGAATTAATTTGATAGATTCAAAAATAATAACTGAAATACATTAGGATCCTATTACAGAAATGCAGTGCATTAAGTTTGTAATTGCAACATTACTTCAGTTTGTTGTACTTACTGTATATTTAAACTGAAATGGTAGTACTGGATAAATCTAGCTAAATATAATATCCCTCATCATTTTCTAATGCCTTTATTTAATTTCTGAAATTTTCAAATGGTATGTATACTTCTTTAAGTGGTTACATATTCAGTTTTCTGTCAGAATATGCCATCAGTATTGTGTCCCAACTCCACAGAACACGTTCGTTAAAAAGAAAGTGGAGGAAGTGTTAGGTTTCGTCACATATGTGAACATATATGCAGTGTCCCACTGTCTCTGGCGTTTTTCATTCTTTGTGCATGAAAAGTTTACTGTTACTGCAAAGATGACTAAAATACAGACATGGAGGGAAATAAAGCAATAGAAAAGGTTCAAACTGAATTTGTAAACAACTATTTCAGATATAACTATTCATTTCAATAATACCCCATCTTCTGTTGATAAGGGAAAATGAACTTATATGAGCATTCAAACTGCAAATCAAATGCGAAATGAAGCTTTCTCTGACAGCTTCTTTAGTAATGTAAGTAATTTACAGTCATGCCCCCAACAGCAGTGTCTAAATGGAAATATGTGAAATAGCTCCGGTTTTTATCTTTCTTTCATGTTTTGGATCCACATACAGAGTGATATGTTTAAATGCCCTTTGTGCTGGGAGCCCTTTGCAAGCAGATGAAAAAATAATGAGTATTTAACAAACTGGACTACCTCAGTTCGCACTGGTTTAGACATCTGGTTGCTACATCAATCAGCTAGCTGCAGAGTGCTTTGGTCAAGCATAGTAATTGCTCACCTACTCTTTGACATTTAATAAGGAGATCATACATGCGATTCTAGAACACTATAAGCTGGCTGCTTGGCTGAAGGAAAAATGCACATTTTATTTGTGTCATTGTTATTTACTTTTCCCCAGAATGAATCTGTAAAATATAGTCTAACTAGCTTACATGAAAAAGAATACTCTTGCACAGGCCTGCTGGGGAAATCAAACTTAATTGCTCCTAATGTGACTTTCTCGGTGCTCTTCGTAAATACGTTATAGTTCTTTGGCTACGGTATTAGGAATATACTACTTGTAATGTCTAAGACTACAGCAATTTACTGGAGGTCGGTGAGTTCAGTTGTGTTGAGTACAGCCTTGTAATTGTGCAAGACTCTCTGAAACCATTATACTTTATTTGTTGTCTTTTTGTAAAAATCTGGCTGGTGAACTAAATTTCTTACCCTCGTGCTTTGAATGCATTATTTTACCAATTCATGTAAAGGTTTCCCCTCTTTATTTAGCAGCGCCATTCTCCTAACTTTAAAAATCCACCTACCTGCAAATTGTATGGTATTCTGCTGTGATTTTAATTCATACATTTGTTCTCACATTTTTTGGTACAATCATTCAGTATGTTGCAGGGCAAGACAGAATTACCCTTACTTGCAGGTATTGTTGACAAAAGTATCATATTGTGTAAAATTGTATCAGATTGTTTTTTTTAATATATTTTTCATCTTTTATTAAACTTCAATGATGTATTAATTTTCACCACACTGCAAAAAGACATATAGTGCATTCATATTTTAATATTATGTGTCTATTCTTATTCTAAGGAGACCATTCATTAATTCTGGTATTGTAAATAATTATTAGACTGGAGAGTTGTTAACACTTAATATGTGTTACTTCTCCTCAAGCTTCACTGCACAGTCCTGTGTGATAATCCTCAGGGGGTCACTGTTCTCTGCCTTTTGCCTTTGGGGCTCCAAGGCATTCCGTGCTGCTATTTCCAAACTCCCTGCAGCAGTACTGCAGGTATTTTTAAAAACCACACCTGAAATTTCACCTGAAATTATAGCTTTAGAACTTTATTGATGTTCAGTTTAATTCTGTGCTAAAAAGCAGAAAGTAAAATACAAAATTTGGACTCTGGAGCCTTCTTCAGATATTTTGCACACGCACTCGAGGAACACACAGTTGAAACACTGTGTGTTTTACTTTATGCTATTCAGTGTGGAATTTACAGATTGCACAGTGACATACTGTAACTCCCCACTCAGATCCGCTCATGTTGTAAAAAATATAAGAATACATCCAAGATTTTTTAATTAATGCAGAGCTTATACAAATGGGACACAGTTTTTGTGTCTTACCAAATAAGGTGATACATAATAAGCGGCACACATCTCTTCCAATCCTAACAGTCATTGGAGAGATTGTTCAGAAGCTAAGGTAACATTTTCAGTCTGAAGTTAGTCTGAAACCAAAAATTAAACATATTAAAGTAAATATTTAAATATTTTTTCCTTGTCATCCTTGTTACTCCACATCAAACTGAACAAACCTTCGACTAATCTGTGTTAATTTAACATATGGAAATAGTTTCTTTTGTAGAATATAGCGTATTAATCAGAAGTATAATATAAAGCAAATTACATACATTAGGTACATTTATTTATGGTCACTTACATAAATGATACTTACAGTTTTAATTTTATTGTGACAGCACTGCACTTAAGGCTTTTTGGAAAGGTAATGATTTTGGTTCAAGGTATAAAAGTTAGATGGATGATGAGGCTAAATGTTGCTCTAAAACAAACCCCTTTATCTTGAAAATAAAAATTATAGGCTAAATGTTTAAAATATCTTTGAAATTTTAAACTGAGTCATGTTAATTATTTTTCAAACTGTGCTTGTAAGTGAAAATTCAATGTAGCAGTACTAGTTTTGGATAAGCAAAAACAATACCATCATTAATACTGGAGGTCTTACACAGACCTAGGGAACATGATCTGAACAGTAATGAATGCTTGCACGATGTGAAAGCTGTAAATAAAAGTACATTTACTTATATATAAGTGATATGCTATTTTTGTTTAGGTAAATTATTTCTAGTTAGCATTGCCTGATACATTAGTGCTGATATAATAACGTTTAAAACCATATCAATGTAACAAAAGATATTTTTATAATAAACTTCAAGACAAAAAGTTTTAAATGTATGAAGGAGCTCAACATATACAACTGGAGCCATCACCTCATCAGTCAACAGTCACCCACTACACAGAGATGAGGTTTAGAAGTGAAGATTTACTTCTTCAGTTGACAGTAAAGTTTATCCTTAGTATCAAGAACGTTATGATATAATTAAGGAATACATTTAGGTAGTTCAGAGCCATCACACCAGAGTTAAGACCCCTGTGCTTACAAACAATGCAACAAGGTCTTTAATTACTAATTAGTTTGAAGCAAAAACAGATGAAATATATATATATTTTAAAAATGTAATTTCTAACAACTAAATTTCAACTGAAGTGTTTGAGTCTGTTAATAATAATACTAATAATAGTATTAAAGCACACTGTAAATAATTGAAATGTGTATTCTATAGCAACATTGACTCATTACCGAACATGATATGTCTGAGATTTTTTTTTCATTTACAGAAAGGCCTGTTAGAAAATGACCAAATATGTATATTTTGTTTCAGAATCCTGGAAAAGGTGAATATTTGAATAAAGCAAAAATAGCAGATGGAGGGAAGAAAACAAGGTAAGCTGCAAAAGGGAGGGAGAGGTGGGAAAATGACCAAAAAACAGAACAGATTTGAAAAATATTTTCCAGTGAGCGCGTTGCCACTGCTCTCTATGTGTGATAAGATATGGGTTGCCCTTTGGTTCTCCATCTGGAGCAACCACATTTTAAAGACCAAAATGCTCTACAATCAAATGTTCCATTAACCTGAAGCCAACAAACCCAAGTGAAATCCACTATACTTCTATACATCATTTTGTCATTTCTACTTATTTTTGTAATGTATTTTTATCTGTTTGTGTTGGTATCTTATTATATATCTGATTGTCTGCTTGATTTCATAAAACTGTTGTTTTAAACTTAAAAATGTTCTTAGCAATGTACTGCAACACAAATACATTGAGACACATCTAGTGCATGTTATTTATTAGCTTTAGCTGTGTTCTTAATTATTAAACCTTTTTTCACTCAAGTATATTTTGAACTTACTTGAGATGTTTCTAAAAAAGAAGATATAGAAAGGGATATTGAATAGGTACATTAAATGGCAAAGCATAAGGATGTGGAATGTGTTTTATAATCAGAATGTCATACATTATAGTTCAAAAGGCCATATGTTATAATCACAAGACTCTCTCCCAGAATTCCTGTCAGCAGGGACAGGAGGTGACATTCCCAGCTTTCTCTGTGTAGTGTGGATGTAGCTGCCTTTGCTGCAAGACTGAATAGAGGCTTTCAGGAATTCCTTCCACTTTCGTAAAAATCATGAAGTCCTAAATAATGACACAATGGTAGAAATAAAAGGATGAGCTGCTGAAATATTTCTTCTTTTAGGGAAATCTCTGACTTTCGGACTGAAGACATTTTCTTACATTACGAATTGAGAGATGTTCCTATTGGCTGAGGTTAAATCAAACAGCAGTTAACCTACTAGAATAACACCATGTTCAAGCTCCCACATACTGAACGAATTATATCTGGTGACTTACAAATGTTTTTTGAGAATGTTTGTTGGCACTATGATGTAAAGAATGTGCTAGTGTGCTTTTCCCATATAATGTAAGCACAGTATATTTATGTACTGTTGCAACCGATCATGCACAGTGTTTTAAGCGTTAGCAAAATTAATAACAAAATCATAAGGCAGATATTGTTTTTCAGTAATGCTTTCAGAATTCCTTCTGATACTTGGCAAATTGGTGAGCATTGTTACACACTTCTCAGACTCCGTTTGAAATCTGCTGATTGATGGTTACTAAAGAGCTCTTGAAATTCTGCTCTGCATTTGTTTCAACTGAAAATAAAAATGTTGAAAATTCTTACTGGTAGGCTGGGATGCACTGTAATGCCTTTTGATACAATAAAGAATGAGCACACATCTTAGTTTTGTAGTTTTTCCAAAACAATTGTAATAATCAAAGGAAACATAAAAATGCACATTTTCTCTTTGATGGTCAGTGACTTCATAGTTAAATTAAATACATGTTAGATAATGTCATAGTTTTTATATTTACCAGTGTTGTTTTTTAGATCAGGAAACAGGAGGATCTGGGTGGATCAAGTTATTGCTTCAAAACCTACAGTAATTATCAGTGTGGAATTAGGAATTATTCAGTCAGAATACCTTTTCTTACATGGAGAACTGTGCCGGGATATCAGTGTTACACAAATTATAATCACCAGTAGCCTGTATTGCCTTCAGATCTTGCTCAAAATTATGCTGAACAGAGAAATATTAACAATGTTTCTTGTTTGCAGCAAAAAGTTTGACTGAAAGAGTTGTCATAGAAACAGGAATAATTCCGTGAATTCGAGATCTACTGTACAATGCTATCTAACATCATTCTCTCTGTTTATTTTAAGGTCAATGCTTTTCCATATTGTTCTTTATGTTCAGACCAAATTAACCTCAGTTGACTACTCCACCAATTTGTTTAACCTTGATCCTTTCAGGATCAGAACTGTACAGTAAGCACCAAAATATAAAGATCTTAAAGATGTTGTTCACAAGAATAAAGTGAGGTCTGTGCCTAAAATGTATAAAGAAAAATTATACTTATGGTAAAGCTCTAGTAAAATTTTATCCATTATAATTCTTAATTAATGTAAATGTGTAATGAAAGCTTCTACTTTTCATTTAAATTTGTAGGTGAATTAAAACCGTGCAGACAATCTTTAATCAACATTTTTAGGTGACATTGCTTTTAAACTTAAATGTAATCATTAGACCTTAACTAAATTCAGTTTCTGTTAAATCTGATTAATGCTGTCTGATCAGAAATATGTATTTCCTTAGGGCGCAGTTCTCTTCCAGATTACTGACAATGTTATGTTTAAAAGCTTTGAAACAGATTTATTCCTTTTTATGCATATTATCAGGGAAAGGTTCAGGATCTACTGTACTACATGTTTAAGAAATATTATTATTTTCAGATTATCTAATCCTTAATTATATGTTTTATGCTTTTGAAGCAATCCTAGCCTCATCATAATTTTAACTTTTTCAACAGTCTTCTTTAAACATGAAATCTCAAGATTTCTGTTTGGATGAAAAGATTTATGTTTTACTCCTCTGGTATCTGCATTAGAGAAAATACCATCAATTAACTAGTTATTTTATTTTTGCATTTCTGATGTTAATGTCTGTCTTATCTAGTTGAGAAGTTAAGATGTTATAATCTTTCCCCAATAGCCTTAATCATTGACAGAGAGGGCTTCTGTATTTCTTGAGTGTGGTAACTTTTGTTCATCGTAATCCTGCTACTGAGCAAAGGGAGGTCATGTTTGTCAAATCTGCCGACATGAACACGGAATTTATCAAGCTTAATTTAGAATTAAATATGCATATGATTTTGAACTGCAAATCTCATAAAGGGCAGGGTAAACAAGTATGAAATTAACTATCTTTTTGTACGTGTTCATAAGTGATATGAAATAGAGTGCATTTACTGTATTCTGAACAGCTAGCATCCCACTAGTGTATAACTGTCTTCTGGCATAACCCAGCTACAGTAGGTGACACACAGTGATTCCTCTGCACAGAGCATTTTCTTCCTATCTCTTGGGTTTGTCTCTCTTTCTATCACTTTCCTCTTAGCCTGTTTAGAAAACCTCCAGTAGCTATTCCTTATATGAGGGCTTGTCAGACATCACCTACATATTTCTGATTTGAGCATCAACATACAGTTCTGTATGACAGTTGAATTTTACCTTTGAATTCATTTTTGTTTTTTGTAGGAAGAACTGGACTACTACATGGGTTGTCCTTGATGGCAGCAAGTTGTTATTTTACAAAGACAGTAAGCAACAAGCTGTGACAAATTTGGTAGGTATTGTCTTTGTGTTTCTTCTTCCTTCAGTTTCTTCTTTTTGATGTCTTATATTTTGGCAGGGGAAAGACATGGGAAATATTACAGTGAATAACAGAATATGTAAGCTGAAGTATTTATTTTAAGAAATATGCAGACATTTTTTTAAACATTTAAAATATATGCCCAGGTGCAAGCAGCACCTTTCTAAGTATTGAAATGTATACATTTGTTGTGTTTTTTAAGCCACCAGCTGCTTCTCTGAACTTTAGCAATCATTCCATACTCTGTATTTAGATGGTTCCTTTTGTCTAAATCTTAAAAGTGGTCCATATTGCATACCACCAGTAAGCAATGCAGATTAGTTAGAATTCAGTCAAAAGAAGCTTATATCCTGCTGAGCGCAGTTACCTTGTTTACTGTACTTACTGTATTTACTGTATTGACGAAAACAAGTGAAGAAATGGTAAATTAACACAGCAATGGGTCAAAGAGTACTTTACATTGCTTGGAATAATGGTAAAAAACATGCATTCAAAGAACCAATTGCACTGAAAATCCAAGATCTCAGTAAAAAGTTGTTGATTTGTATTTTATCTGAACAACTAAGATACTTAACTCAATAAAAGCTAAAACACATCTTCTTTTTTAATGTGGGACTATAGTGATATTACTCATCTGACTCCGATCCTCAGAAATATGCCAATGACACCACTGATACAGTTATTTTGCTGTTTTATTAAGTATGCCCTACAGTCATTTAGTAATTTTGTTACAGTCCTGTGTTATTTTGGGCTGTGATTTTTAAAATATGATTTTCTGTTTCTCTTGATTTCTTGGATGGTACTGTTTATTTTACATAGCTTTATTATTTACTGTTTTTGTTGGTAATGAATATGTGAAGCCAGTATAAAGTATATACAGATTGTACAGAAGTATAAAAAGTTACCTACTGGTTATTGAAGGGAATAGATTAAACGATAATTAAAAATAAATTACACATGTATCTGAAACAGAAGGAAATGTTTCATATTAGAAACAAGTTAGATAATATTAGCATAAGTAACATTAAGAATTAATTGCTAAGAGGAATGTTTCAAAAAAAAAAATCCTCTCCACACAATGAAAACAATTATAAATATGCAAGGCCGACTTGAACACTTGACTTTGTTGTTGAAGTAGTCCTGTGCAGGTTTCTGTTCAAACACTCTGCCTTCCTCTCACCGTCACTAATGATCAGACAAGCCTGAGCTGGGTCAGGTCTACAGTATGTCCTGCCTCTAGAAGGCTTGCCCATACATCTCCTTGAACTGGAATCACATCCAGAACCTTCCAGTGGGCTCTTCCTGCTGCTTTATTTGCTTAATTAATTGATCAATTGATTTTTTTTGTATCTTGTTATGGAGACATAGCCTCTGTATTGGGTTTGAGTGGATGATCAATGAGGTTGATCGGGGACGATCAGACATGCACTACAGTGTTATTTTTAGTGCTACAAGAGGCAATTGGAAATCGGACCACGGATGTTTTTAGTGTGATAAATGTCACACACAAAATAATAAAAAAACTCTAAACTAAAGAACTAAACTAATTAAAAATTACTACAAATGCTATGTATAAATAAGCTATGTGAAAAATCTTTATACTTAAGATATATATCTTTATATGAAAGAGTTTCATTATACTAAAGTTCATTGATATTTCTGTAACAACAGTATTCTCAGTGATGCATAAAAAATATGCAAGCCTTACTTTGTGTCTGTGTCCGAAATACACATACTATAAAACCACAACAGAATCCAGTTGGAAAAAAAACATTCTTATGCACCTTAGACCCTCACTGAGGGACCTTAGGAGAATGCCCATAGCAAGCCAGCAATCAGACAAGAGAAGGCAGTGCCCTTGGGGCTAGGCCATGGGAACATTCCCAGGAAGAGAGAAGGCCGGAAACTGATTTTATGTGAGAAATTAGCAATGTGCAGTAGACTTAGACAGGCCAGATTTTATCAAACTGTGTTGGATTTTGTAATTTCCAAGAGAGATGAATGATTAACGATTCAGTGTTTATTGTCTATAACCCTATGTTACAGGTTTAAGAGTTATATGTCATTCATTAGCAGAGCAGTATAACTTGACATGCAGTATATTTACTGTTTTCCTTGACCCCTCAGTTAACTATTATTTCCTATTCAGAAGTAATATTCTGGTTTTGATGAAACTATAGGTGGTAGAGTACATGTTGCAAAATTGTCAAATTAATAGTATTTGCTGTAGCATCATTGTAACCAATTTAGCCAAGTAACAGAATTACTGTATACTGTATCTGTACCCCAAAGGCCTGAGCAAAATCATTACCTGTATGTGGTAAACCGCTCCTGGTAATACTTTTTTTTAAAATGCTGTTTAGAACGAAATCTTCCCTAAATGCTTCTGTAAAAACAAGACACTGATGTAAAGCTGCGAGAAAAATTGTTCATCCTGATCCTGGGGGTATGTGCAGAAAAAATGATTGTGACAGACCTGGAGATACTCAAATAGAAAATAACCTAGTGAGGCAGCAGAGCTCACCTTGTAGCGAAAACACAAAAAAGCTCACCTCTGCAGGCAGAGAAGCAAGAAAAGCAAGCCTCGAAGCTGTCCTCTGTGACATTGTCATTAGAATGGGGCAGAGTCTGACAGTCCTTCCCCCTCAACCTCCCTGCTTCGTGGAGCTGTCAGGGGTGGGTCAGACCTGCCAGGCTGCATCTGTGTGACAGGCGGCTGGGAAGGTGCACTCCAAGCTGGCATCACAATCAATAACTTCTCTCGGATCGGACAATGGAGGAAAATCTTTTATAGTTCTTGCCACTGTGGTTTCAGGGGAAATGTTGTCACCTATCACAGAATATATGCTTGCTGGAAAGATAGCTCAAAAAAACTCACATACTGTATATAACATTTACAACCAGTTTGACTCTGGCAAAGTCATGCTTTCCTGCATAAAATCAGGCAGAGGTTGACTTGCCAAGTGCATGAATATCCTGAAAGGTTTAGCTGGATGTGTTATGGGAACTATGAGTTGTGAAACGGTGGGGGGGGGGCAATATTGGGTCCTGATACATTTACTGTTAAAAGCTCCATTGAAACAGAGATCCATTACAGAGAACTGCTGGCTTCCAGAAAGAGAGAAAATAAACCTTAGTGTTTGCGAAGTCTGTATTCCTGGCACATATATGTGATGTTTGCCAGAATAAACAGACATAATAAGTGTGTAACTGATTTCCTTTTCTTGTAAAACGAGAGAATGTCAATGTTCAACACTAAACCACCAATCAATACTGGACATTTACAGCTTGATTTTCAAAAGGTTCATCCCTTAGTCTTTAATTGGTGTTTGTAAGTGAAATTTCTTGAGAGCTATATGAGATTTTTTATTGCATTTTCATGTAAATCATGTGAAATCAAGAAGGACAATGAGAGTAGGAAGCACATTACAGTAATGTTTTTTTAATGTAAGATATATTTTTGTAAGTCATTCTAAAGCAGCTAACCAGAGACTGAAAAAAATCTAATAAGCTCTAAAATCTTGTGTGGATGATTCATTTAAATTGACCACAGCCACTTATGTCACTTCCAATGTAAGAGGAAAATGCCTTGTTAAACAGGCTGGGCAGTTTGAAGTAATGAAGATGCTCTGATAGTTGTCTTCATTCAAGGTGTCATAGTGGGTCTCAAAAACTCACATCCACAATAGCTTAATAATACAGTAAATACTTTATTCGATATGATTGGGAGACAGAAGATAGACCACCAGTGCAATATACAGTACTAGTAATTTAATGCACAATACTTTTTTCTTTAACAGTAAAGAAAGTTCCAATGCACCTTTAAAGAACTCAAATGTTTAAGCAATCTATAGCAATGTCTAGCTATTGGATCGATGTTGAAAGAACTTTATAAATAGGAAATCTCACTTTATAAGAGCATTTTAAAATCTTGCATTTCATTCATTCTAGTTAAATAGCTTTTTTTAGACTTCAGTCAGAGGAATAATGAGGCATCAGAAAGCTCCTACTCTAATCATACATTCTACTACTGTAGGTATCCTAAACGATCAAAAAGAACACATGAGGTAGCAGCATGGAAATAACTTGGTGGAAAAGTTCAAATTTAATATAATATGAATTAACTCATTTACATCTTGTTTTATTAAATTGTGCAGTAAAATAACTGTGCTGTACAATGACAGATTTGAGTTCAGAGTCTGAAAAAGCAATCAAGATATTCACAGGTCTACTGTACTTAAATTGAAGTGAAACATTTTAATCTGTCCAGCTCTTCTGAAAGCAGGGTGGTGGTGTGTGTGTGGAGTGGGGGTCAGGGCGGGGTGGGCTGCATCGATGAGCTTGAGCTGCTGCCAATGAAGCTTGACAAAATTATCAAAGCAATTCCATATTGATCTTTCATGAACAAGAGGTCTAAATGGCACATGTTTAAATTCACTTAAACCTTGTTCATTATGGGGACCAAGGACCATGAACAGAGTGTCAGACTGAGGTCTGTGGTGGCATGCTCATTTAGAAAACATTCTCTTCCTCATGAGCACAGAAGAGGGAGCATCAGTCAATGCTCCAACAGTTGAAAATGTAGTGGTCCCTCATAAGCTTCTTATGATGGTCGAAAAACCCAAGATAAATAAACAACCTACCACCCCCCCATCGTGGAAGAAGTGAAAACATTCATTGCTTATGGCCCTATAACTGTCCTTCTTAGTTGCTCCTGTAGCTGCCATAGTAGTTATTTCATAGCTATTTGGCATTAAAGGTTCACAAATCGATAGAAGGGTTTCAGTAAAATTAAGAAAAGGAGAATAATGTTTTCAGCCACTAGAAATAATAATAGCACATGCACTTCATGACCAAACATTTAGGACACCACCATGTGTGGTGAGACTGAGGAGAAAGGTACCATAGAGTAGATTGAGACACTTTATGGGGTCCCAGGGTGTCGAGGGCTGTTGTAGTGCAGTAGATGGAGTTTGGGAAAAAACTGAGGCAGCAATACAATCCCAAACAGCTAGTCTACTTACTGTAAATTGTTCTCCGCCCCATTCAGACTGTAGCCTGAAAGGCACACCAAAAACTGACCTCATGGATATTTGCAGAAGGTGTCTCGTTCCATCTACTGTATAATACTTAATTAAGGTGTAAACGGCTGGCTAATTATCCATGTACTACAGCATTTAAGGTATTCTTTTGCAATTCCTAAAGATGTTTCCAAAGTGACTGGAGAATCCAGTAGGAAAAGATCCACTATCATGCTGCACCCTACCATGATGCCGATAATGTGTATAGGCTTTGCATACACATGTGCACAAAGAGTTAGAAAGACAGGCACAGCATTTCAATTAATATGAACAAAATTCCAGTTGATAAGACTCTATCAAATAAAGGCCTCACAAACTAGGTTAAAGAAAAACACACTGCAGATTCAGTTGAGATTTATGGAGAATCTGGGTGAAATGTAAATTGCTTAAGGACTGAGCAAAAAAAAAAATAGGACTGTTTATGTTAAAATAAACAAAACCAGCATTCTTCCCACGAAACTTAGGACACCAGGTAGTGTACATAACAAAGTCTTACTATTATAAATCAATTTGTAAGTTTATTTAAACTGTTTATAACCTTAATCTAATATTAATTAGACAGCAGTATATTTTCTTTAGGAACTGTTATACTTGTCAAGTTTATAAATGTGAGTCATGGAATCCCAGTTTTTTTATAGTTACATTGCCATTACTCTACATGTGAAGTACAATCAAAAACATAACTTTCACAACATTATAGTACTAACAGTATACTGTAGATGAACATGGGTTTTTGCTAATGTCAAATTTTGACTGTCTAATTTACTGTTAGTCTCTGCTGCCATTGTTAAGACAGAATACGAAATTCTGTTTTATTGGTTTATCATTTTTGTACAGAAAAAGCATTTTATCTGTATGTCTAGAGCAGAAAAGTGGAGATCCTAACCTCTACATGGTCATCTTATTTAACACATTCCAAAGGCATAGCCATAGTTATACTTGCAAAATGCTGAAAATGCAATGATTAACATAACCGCTATACTTGGTTTTACTTGACCAAAAAACAGTAGATCACTCTCATAGTCACTTTTACCTTGACTAAGGGTAGATTGTGTTTATTGTTTGAGTAAAAAAAACCAGTAAAATACAGTGTTTCCATAAATGCTGAATGCTAAATTAACATAGACAAGAAACAGCTGAGCTTTTTTGTACTGTATGTATACAGAGTTTATATGGAAAAAAATTATTTATGTTGAAAAAGAAGCAGATTTCACAACCTTTTCTTTTGGTGTTTATTTAAATGTAAAATATTTCTCTGAGCCTCCAAGCAGTTCTGAGTATTCAAGTGTGATTATAAATCTTCAAAAGAAAGGTCATTGCTTTTCAACAGCATGTAGTCCTAAGTGAATTAAATTTAGAATTATATAAAGTATAGAATGTTTTTGATTTAAACATTGTGGAATTTGCTGAGGATTTGTTCTTTTGATTCATTTACATTGGTAGTGATATTGATTAGTGGGTTTGAAATACCTTAAGAAGCTTCCATGAAATGCAGAACATATGACCAGTTTCAGTAGGTTTCTCATGTAACACATGTTTAAAGCAGTCCTTTCAAATTTGGCAATTTAAATAATTATCACTTTATCTATCAAAATCCTCTCTGTCAACAAGGGTTTGTGATTTCTAGCATGCTTGTGGTTTTGGAACGTATGGTTGTCTGTGTTTTGTGAAACCACATTCCTAGTGATTTCTCTGGAATTTGTTGGATTGTACACTTAACTGGAGATTTACCTTCAAAGAGTTGGTCCCTTTGTGCAGAAGGACCATACCCACTTTGTTCATTGATGGCATATGTGCATGTTGATTTCACTTACTGCCCTATTGTAAAAAGCCCAGTGTATTTTATTTCTCATTTATTTGTCTGTTTTTAAAAAGATAAATATGTTTCAACCCACAAGTGAAGCAGAAGGAATGAGGGATGGTTGGGCTTTGTTCCTATTTTTTTCCCCTTTACCCTATATCCTACCACCCATCCCTGAACTGAATTTGTGCAAGGCCACTTTCTTTATGCAGACTTGCTCGTTTTTCTAGCAGTCAGACAGAAAGGCGAGTCTGCGCCAGAGTCTGTTCTCAGCCTGGCTGTGGACTTCATGATTGTAAAGCAACAGCAATAATTTCATTGAAAATATTAAGATAGAATATTTGTTTCTATAACTTAACCATCCCTTAGTTGTTTGTGTGTTTCTGAAGACGGGATGGGAAATACTGATTGCTTGAAAGCAAATGATTGAAAATAACTGTTTGTCCATTTGTATTGTGCCCTTATATCCTATGATTGGCATTAATTATTCAGGGAAAAGTCTTGGTCGATGTTTATCTGACCAATATTTCCTGGTATTTGGATTTAATAGAAATGAGGACAAAATAGGGTAAACAAGGGAACAGAAAGACACCTGAGCGGTTTTGTTTCCTGAATTTTAAACTGTGTCCTGTAATCATAATTTGCATTGCAGTAACCCCAGAAGAAAAGCCTGAAAAAAAGCAGTAATGGAATCTTCTGTAATTCCTTTTTAGTTAAAAAACGATTTCAGAACAGGGCTTTATTGTTTGCTGAATTAAATTATTTGCTTCCCAGTGCAGATCTCACACTCTAATATGTTATTTGAGTAAAACTCAGGAAACTTTCATTTCAGGGAAAATTAATATGCAGCCGACATAATTAAGAAACTATGTTCAAATTCCAAATTAATTTTACCTTAATAACATGCAAAGAAATCAAGAAGGCAAACTAGGATTTTTTTTTTCTGGAGTTTTTCCCTTATTAGTTAAAACACCAGAGAATGTACACGGTGTTCATTTTTCCTGTGTTTTTTTTATAAACTTGGGAAGATAATTATTTTTCACACTATGTGTTTGTTAATATTTGTGACAGTCTAATCTAATTTCTGTTCCTTTTTTACTCACACGTAAGTTATTAAAGTCACTGAGTTTGTTCCTTCTGTCAGAAACCAGGATGCAAACCGGAAAGTGTTGACCTCTACGGAGCGAGGATTGAATGGGCAGCAGACAAGTCCAGTCGAAAGAACGTCTTTCTGGTAGGGGGCAGTGAATGCTTACATTTTCTACATGTACAGTATAAGCCAATTCCAACGCATTTCATGTCTGTGAGTTTTCTTTGAAAACTTTGGTGCCTGCTCCTATCCATCCACTATGAAAACGTTATTTATTCCTGGCGAGTGTCCTGGCAACTCGAAGCCTACAGTCCATTGATAAAGTACAGGGTACAAAGTTGGGCTGCAGTCTGCATGAAAAAAAAAGTACTTTTGTAAGGTACACACACACAACTAGGCAAGCACACACAAGCACACAGTGACACCAGTTAGCCTGTCCACCATGATTTTCTGAAGTGTGAGGAACACAGAAAAGCCAAGCAGCCACAGGGAGACCTAGCATTGTGGAGTTATCATACTCCACACTGAAGTTTCCTCCTGTCTGATGTTGATCCCTGGGCCGAAGAGTTACAAGGCAATGGTTCTAACCTCCATGCAAAGCTATCTCCCCGGCAATAGATGTATATTTATCAACCTGTGTATCTCTGCTTACTTCAGAGATATCCCCTTATTGATTAGTGAAGTAATTCAGATTCAATTTGATCAACATGTATACATTTGAACATGCACACATACAGTAGGTAACAATGTAATTCCTGTCTAAGTTAATCTTCATGACATTTATTCAACTGTTTTGAGGGCACTTTATTGATTTAATAATAAACTATAATTTCTGTTAGAGAAGAAATTGTTTCTTCTCTTCAAATGATCTGGTTTTGTTGAAACTCAACCCCCCAAAAGCCTAACACTTAAACAGGAATCAACCCACCGCATCTGGTTGTGTGACACTGGCATGTCCAATATTGTTTTTTTGTTACAGAATTCATTTTAAAACCGGGCCAGCTTTAATGAATATCGTTTCTTGCTGCATGCTGAAAAATGGCCTGTGCCCAAGTGGAGTGGTCTTCCTGTTTATTTCTACCGCAGATCAGGTTTACAGCAGGTCAGGCCTTACGGCTCCAGCCAGAGATGTGGAAACACTGATTTCAAGTGCCAAAGGAAAAGTGTATATTTTGTTTAAGAGGGATGTCACAGACCCTTATAATTAACAAAAGTCAATCTTTCAAAATCTTGGACCCTTTTTTTATAGACTAGTAATGGCAAGACAGTTTTTTTTTCATTTCCACTGATGTTTGTGCTGTAGCACTATAATTCTGTCGCACTCTTATGCCACTTCAGTTGCAATAAGTGCTTTGAAACAAATCGCAATGAAGTATAGTTACAGTATAACATAGTATAACCTAGGTTCTGCTTGAAGTACTATATATACAGTATAGGAACAAGTAATAGGTTTATTTCATGTTGAAAAAAAGAAGAAAGAAAACACAATGTTTCGGCCGTGGAGCCTTCTTCACACCTGTGTTTTCTTTCTTCTTTTTTTCAGCATGGAATAAGCCTATTACTTGTTCCTTTGCAGCCTACGCATGGTGATGCAGCTACCCACGTGAACTACTATATATATATACTGGTTATTTTACAGTACTTTTAATTTGAAGTAGATTAATGGACATTATTTTGTGTTGATATTTCACACTAACAACAAAAATGATGTAGCTGTTGTGGGTGTTTGATGTTTTGCATTCATCTTGGGTAACTTGAAAGTTATTAAAAAGTGTAATTTATATCATATACAGTACATTAGGCACACAGTAGACAGATGCTAAACAACAAAGTCAGTCCAATACAAGTTAGCATTTAGTGTGTGAGTGCACTGTATATGTTTCAGGTGCTCCTCGGAGGAACACTTTTAGAATGTAATTAAATAAATTGATAAGTTAAGATATCTTATATATGTAGTATATGTTTTTTTAATAACATATTATTACACAAGCCTGCATAAGTAAAACGGCACCTACAGTAAGAAGGTAGACATATGGTACGCTTGTTAGGCCAGTATCACGAGGAACCCACACCTCTTTACAGGAAATGTCGAACATACAGTATCTGAGAGAGAAAGTTTGCTGTTATTGTCGGGAATGAATAAGCACCAGGACAGTTTTAAAAAAAAAAAGAAAGAAAGAAAGCACGCCATGTCAGTACACATGGTGGGCCATTTTGAGTCTGTTAGGTTTTGAAAGTTTCTCTAGGCTGCTTCTGCTCTTTGACCACTAGTTGTATCCTAAAGGCCAGGCCGACATGCACGAGGAGAGGGTTCTGCCCGCTGTAGGGTTTTACTCCTAGGAACAATGCCAAGGTCAGGAGGTCAGGAGTCCTAAAAGCAAACACTAACCTACTTACACACACTGTGTCCTTAGTGAGAGCTCCAGAGGAAACTCCAGTGTTTTAATAACATCATCATGGGAAATATGGCAAGCACTGGTAACCATTCCTAGTGCAACTATTTTCTTGTGCAGGCTGTACAGTTGTATATGCCCTTTTTCTTTGTGTGATCAAAATTACAATGCTCTTTTGCTTTTGACCTTACCTTCTCTTCAGGCTCACTAACTATCAATCCTACACTATCTGCTTCATTTCAGAAATGCGTTTGATTATAAGTACTGTATGTTAGGGGTGGCCATTCCTACCTTGTCTTACAAATGTTGTCCCTTTTCCTGTTTCTTTTTAAAAAGAGAGATATGACTGTAAGTGCATTTATCTGATTGGCTGCAATGCTTAATAAAAGAGCTGAATTAATACAGGATACAGTACAGAGTAGTTTCATTGCTAAAATGCTGCAGTAAGAGGGAGACCAGCAGTAGCTGGTTTAGCTCCTGTAGTTAGTAAGATGATAAAAAAGATAAAAAGGGAGGCTTAGCAAGAATGTGCAAGAGCCAAAGGTCCTCTCTGTCAGTTTATATAGGCACTAAACTGAATTTATTTTATGTTCGGTGGTTTAAAACTATTCTATCAAAAATCTGATCTTGCAATACAAAAGCAATCAGTTTAGGTACAGTACTTATCTAGCTATACTCAGGAGAAAATCAACACATCTGCTTGAAATGACTGTGGAAAGCAAAGCACAGTGAAAAAGAAGTGTAGGCTGGAGCAAGAATCAACATTTGACTTTAAGGGTTGATGTCACACCAGTTCTAGAGAAAGCAGAAAGCAGACTATGGGTAAAACAGTAAAAACCAAGAATCCACCGACACATCAGGAGAATCGTAACCAGAAAGATTAAAACAAATACAGGAGGCAATTACACTTCAATACAAAATATATAACGATAAAACACTTATACTGTATTTATGACTGCTTTTCAAGAGACAGCACTGTATAACAGCACTCACTTAATACACACAACTAAAAAGAGATATAAAAATTGAAACGTAATGTCTCCATTGGCTTTTTTTAGTGAGCACTACAGGCCTGGCACTTTAATGTCTTCTATGGTTTGTGGATAAAACATGTCTGAATCCACAGGTCTAAGGATGAGAGGACTAGACCTGTATAATATAGAAATGCATATAATATGCATGGTACAGTATATAAATACTGTATGTGTTTTCAGCAGGAAAACCTAAAATGCACTGAATATAAAAGGGATTCAGAGTGATTCAGGAGTAATGTGTTGCTGCAGATTAAATAACCCATGATCTGTAAAAGTCTGAGCATGCTGAAGCCCGGTTTCAGGAGGTTTTGCAGGAATCTAATCTTGATAAAATGAAGGCAAGTACAGTAACAATATTTTAGCTATAGTTAGTCTTTAACTGAGCATAGTGAAAAACAGATTGCATTGAAATGTTGTAAGAACGCTCTTTTAAAGACAAATCAGGGTCAAACATCTTTGGGATTCTGAAGTGTGAATTTTTTTTTCCCCATAAATGCCCTTTACAGTTTTTTTTTTCTGTCCAGGGTGTTATATTTTTGGCTCTTGGAGAACATAAAGGTGCTTTTACAATGTTAAGTACTAGTATATTGTATTTCGGAGTCTTATACTGTATCTGTAAATATGAAGAAAGAACAGTTGGGGGAATGAGATTCTGTTTTCTAAAAGTACTCTGTAACAGTTCAAACTGTTGCTCTGCTCATCCGCAATGCTGGTTTTTTCCTAGAATAAAAAAAGGAAACTATGAATATTAAGGGAGCTTCCAGATCTCATAACATGCTTAAGACTTCATTGCTGTTGAGTGGTGTTTTACTGTTCAGTATTTTGACTGAAATCTTAACGCAATGAGGATTAAAGGGATTACAACATAATCTTAAATAATCCAAAGTTCCTTGGACAGAGAAATGCGTGTAATAACTATATAAACCCATCCTGGGGTCTGACAACATTGTCAGTCAATGGTAGGATTAAAATTAGTGTAAAAGTTCTTACTAATACCATATATTTTGTGAGCACAGAAGCAATTTGTATTTTAAGAGACATACCTCTTAGAGTGCTGGCCAGCTACTGAAGGGCAAAGCTCTTACAGATGATGGATCGATGGGCCTAAGAAGATTTATATTTTTAATTTTTGTTTTTGATCAATGTCTCATGCTTTCATTATAAAATGTCATGCCTTTGAATTTTTAAGTTTTGACTGTCTTTGCTTGTGTGTATTTTCAGACATGTCCAAAACTTTCTTAATGAATAATTTGGAAAAAGAAATCCAAATTTCCTGGATTTTTTTAAGGATTAAAAAAATAATTATTATAAGGATAAATTTTATAACAGCTTTTAACAACGTTTTCATACAACCTAAAATAAAATAAGTCATTAAAACCTTTTTAGAATCGAATGGGAACTTGTGATGGGATAAATGTAGGATATTATTATATTTATATATACTGCATATTATTTAAGGTGTCCTAAATTAAAAGCATCAATCTGGAAGTGAATGTACAGTACCATAATTTTATTTTACTTGTGTTGGGATGAAATGTCCTTATTGCATTGTAAATGTATACTGTAGGTATGATAAGTTAGGCTAATTTGTATACATGATTTCAGTTTGTTGTTTATCCTTTTTTTCCATTGTTTCATTGGTTCATTCATTCTGTACTGAGGATATTATACTATAGATTATATACAACTGTCCTTTTCTATTCCTTAATTCCTATAC